TTATGGCGATTTCGCAACTAAATATATAAATTGAAGGTATGAATATCAAGATGGTGTTGTTTCTATCTTGGTCACGATCCTCCTTCGCTGCATAAAAGTGGTTTGACCACCTTTTAGCAACTAGGTCGTGTTTTCAGCTCGACCTGGATGAGCGCATCTTGGCCGGAGTCCTATGCCATATAAATCATGATCGTTTCCAGCGTTGGACCTTGACTAATGTACACCTCGCCCAAGAGACAGATGAAGTCCGCAAGAGTGGCAAAACCAACTCACGGAAGAGATACTACGACCAATCTATGACCACTATGACAAAATCTTAGTCTTCATATCTACCAGCCAAAATCCGTCCTACTATATTGTAAGTATGTGTTTGATGGATTGTATGAGAGTAGCAGTGTTAAAAAGCCATCAAAATATATACATTAGAAGTTGTTTGACCTTGTTTTCGCAACTCGGTCATATTGGTAGGAAGACTTAGAGGAACGCACCTTGTTCCGGCGAAGTGTCTGGGAATGTACCACGTCCACGGTCCTACTATAGAAATGATGATGCATTCAATGGACTCTGGACTAGGTGCGTTCCTCTAAGTCTTCCTACCAAAATGACCAAGTTGCGAAAACAAGATCAAACAACTTCTATAAAACGAAAAGAGACTGCGACCACGCAAAAGGCCACACCATCTTGGTCTTCATACCTTCTATATAAATTAGGTTCAGAAATTAGGGTAACTGGAGGCCTTATTCAAAAGGATTCGCCAATGAGATCTCTGTGATTGTCTACATTAATTTGCTGAATCCTGATCAGGAAATGTCGGTTTATATCCCCATTTCTCCTGAAAAGAATGCAACTGTTCTAGAGCGAAAGCCGGCAAACCTCTCTTTGTGTCAGATATCAAGTCCTGGGGCAAAATTGGACCTACACTTCAGAAGGGTATTGCTGAGGGAAGCCATACTTTCATTTCATATATGAAGAGAAGTTGGGTTGCGAAGAATCAGCCACTTTGCAATTCCGATATTTCGCTATGCATTTACATCCTCCGTCCTTGCTTGTAGCTCATTCTATTCCATGCAAGCTACTTTATAAATCGGTTCCCTTTCTCTGATCAGTTTGACTAGCCATACATCTTAGCAAATACTTGAATGCACCTCTAACATTTGGATCCGAAATGTTTACGTTCTGACGATTTTTGTCACGGCCAGATAAATAAGGCCCAACACTGAATAATCGGGATTACAAGATGTTATGCAGATGACTTGCTAGAAGAACGATCAGCGGTCACAAAGGTTTATAGTGACCCTCTCGTTTTCAAACTCAATTAAAGATAGGGCAACATGGATCTACTTTACTATTCCTCGAAACCCGGTCTATCCTTAAAATATAGTCCGATTTATCTGGCAAAAGACATATATATATATATATATATATATGTGGTCCACGAGGCATCCTCCCTCGTTTCAGGAGCAAAAGGGACTGAGCCTTCGTCAATCATATGACAGAACTCATCAGAACTGAAACTAATTCATGTAAAAGTCTCAAGTTAGGAAATGTCAAGTCAAGAATATGAAGAATTCTTTAGAAATATATTGTGACATATCTTTTCATTTTAAAGGTTAAGTTTATTATAAGGAATTCGTAAAAACTGGAGGAGTGCCGCGGAGCGGAAATAAACGATAAAAAACGAAGCTGGGTAGACATAAGTAGATATAGAATATTTCTCACTTGTAAGTAGGTTTTAGAGACTTCGGCGAGGTCGAAAAGGCATTCCACTCTGGATAAGTATAACTTTTGGAAAGTAAGGCTAGGTAGGTTTGGCTAATTATTTTTCCTATTGGTAATATCACTTCTATTTGAGTGTGTGTGTGTGTTTATGTGTGTTTTTTAAAGTCTATACGCAACAATGGTCCTATATCAGAATGAGTGAACAAGCCTAATGTCAGGCATAGGTCATCAAGGCCTAATGATCCAAGAAAAACCACAACCTAGACCATGTAAGTCCGTGGGCATTTCTAGTTAAGATGATGAGGTACAAACTTGTACGTTTGTAAGTCAGCTTATGAAACACACTGTCACAAACTGTCTGTCTAAGGTCATAGTGATAGCCTTACATCATATGAAGTGACTAGTATTTTTCTTCAAGATCTACTGATATTTTTGAAACACACACATTCAGTATACTGTAATTCCGTCATATTCTTAGTTAAGATCTATTGACACTCGAAATCAACATGCTCATGATATGATTTGTGTTATGTTCAGTTTATTAATTTTTTTATATTATTTCCCTCCCTATAATATTTTCTATTTAGGGCGATGGCTATCACTATCCCCTGTTTTGAAGGGGATGGAGAAGGCATAATTATAGGATTCTGCACATCTCCTTCATTTCTGTCCTCAGGCTTTTGATTAAATGTTTTATTTATACTCTATTCTGCAACTCGATAAATTTCATTTCAGACTTCCGAGGACTAGAATCCAAACTTCCGACGAATTTTCCTGATCTCCCGAGGCAGGTGGTGTGTCCGCCTGCAATTCCTACCCCTTAAGAGGAGCTGCCACATGTTGGCTCAGCTGCACACTCATCAACATTCTTTTGAGAAGATTATTTACGAGCCGGAGCGAAGCTAAACTATGCAAATAGTGTTAATTGTTTATGCATAAATTTTAACATCTGTTTCCCTCTTACCGGAGGCCAGTTAATGCGAGCAGAACCCAAACCGCTGACATGGTAGGCCTCAGTATCCAGCATGACGTGAAAGACGATCATAGCCAAAAAGTGCAGGAGAGCTGTAGATGGTGTATCCAAGAGTGTCAGGCATTCGCGGACGATGTTAATGGAACGCAGTATAGGTGGTCCATAGTGCATCACGTTGAAGGGCAAATCAGGGAACGGGGTTGAGGTGGAGAGAAATGAGGACGAAGTGAGCAGTAAAACACCAATGGGAGGTAGGGTTTTGGATAAGAAAAGGTGGTTGAAAGGGATTCGTTAATTGGCCTCACAGGAAACCGAAATAAGCATGCCATGGAGTTGCGATTGTGAATTTGTTTGAGGAAGTCGTCGATAAAACATCTTGAGACCTTGAGCCATTCGTGATATGCTTAGGTCTGTCCCACTGCGGCACACCTTTAGGATGTAAAACCGTTCTTCAGTAAACTTCGTCAAGTTTAAAGAACTTATTCTTGTCTTAGTACTTTGGTGGATTGGTCGGGATCGCAGGACAGTGAACCGAACAATTCCTGGAAAAAAATCAAGTCACAACTGCACGACAATCATTCCTCGATTTCAGATGAGGCTAATTTACAGATCCCTTCAATTTACCTCTTGAATCTAAACGGAGGTTACAGTAACATGAATTTATTAAGAGATCCCTTCAAACTCGGCTTATCTTCATAAATATCAAGTTGTGCCGTCGAAATAAGCCTTCAATTCAGACATTCATGCTGCATATGGGTACAGTTGATGCATACAAGTTTCTAAAGGTTTATTCTAACTTGCATTATTTATTTAACACATGACGAGTATCCTTACAATTAATTGAAGAGTTGGCCTTATTTGACTATTTTATGTATCTCATAAGGCTGTACTTCTCCTATTTGAACAGCAGTTTCAATCTGGGACTAACTAAATTCGAATTTAGGAAGTGCAGGTTAATGGGAAATCAAGTTACCTCTTATACCGCATAGCACTGGCCCTAATGTCTCAGATGACCAAAGTAACTTTCAACACAAAGTAAGTCTATTTCAATTCCCATAAATTGGTGTGCCACTCCGAACGAACTCCAATCAGCCTCCTGAGAGCTTCGAAATTCGGCAAAAATAAGTAGAATATCGGTTGGAAAGTTTTCATCAAATATTGCGAATTTAGCAGGGCCTGCTTTGTCTTAAAATGCATGCCTCTCGCTTACTAAGACAGTGAGGCTAATGTGTCTGCGAAGAAAAGTTGGGTTTATGGAAAAATCTTGTTTCATAATTGTTGAGTTTACTTTCATTTCGCATGAAAGTGTTTAGT